TAGGAATTAATTAATACTCAAGGAAGAATATTAAAGAAGATGAATCCTACTATAGTTAATATCAAGATGTTAACTAATTGTCATCTTAGTAACACTTCCCGATATTAACACAGAGGAAGGAAGAGCTATTACTAAGACCAATGTCAAGATGTTAACTAATTGTCATCTTAGTAACACTCCCCAACATTGATATAGAAATAGTATTTAAAGGAAGAATTAATATTCAAGGAAAAGAAGTTAAGAAAATAACTCACAACTTTAATAATCAACAAGCTTCAAGAGCAATACTAAGAAATGGAAGTTTATCTCCTCATTTGGAGACTAAACATGCTAAAAGAAATATAGAGAAATGCTATTCTAAACTGAGCTTAAGAGTATAAAGGAATTGGTTTCTAAAAGTGAAGAAAAATAGGTGTATTTATAGGCTTTTTTGGAGGTGCAGGTCGGGTACTCGATCGAGTATATACATATACTCGATCGAGTATGTGTAGAAACTCGAATTCGATCCATACTCGATCGATATTCGAGTAGATCGAATTCATAGCTATACCCGATCGAGTATATATGTCGGTGTACCCGATCGGGTATAGACACTCAATCGTGGTAAAATCTTCCCTGCATGTTCCTTTGTTTTCAGATCCGATCCGATTTGAAATTTCAACAAGATACCCGATCGAGTATAGGTAATACTCGACCGAGTATAGACCAAAATCAGGATCTTCCCTTTTTGTCTTGTGATTTTGCACCTTCCTTCCACTTTTGGGGTTCACCAACTGTCCTTTGAGTGATGGTAGACCTGTTTGAGCTCAGAATAAACCTAATCTAAACAATTTACAAGAATTTAACAAACTAAACTATTACACCCAAAGTGTGTAATTTCCGAAATACTAAACAACCAAAACTGACTAAAAAAGTAAATAAACACACGGAAATTACAAACGTATCAACTCCCCCACACTTAGTTCTTTACTCGACCTCGAGTAAAATAGAAATATCAACAGTTTGAGAGTTTCAAGAAAGAAAGAAACTAAGACCACCAAGGGAAAAATGAGTTTGTACAACAACATTCTTTCTTGGGTTTAATGATCTTCTATGCTCCTTGCCTCTTTTTCTTCTTCTCCACTTCTTCTTTCTGAGTCCTCTTATTCTCCGAAGAGATCAAATGAGTGCCTGCAAAAACAAATATTTCTCTCATCTCTCTCATTTTGCCTAGAAGCCTTTTCAGGTTTTCATCCTAGCATCTCTTTTCATTTTCCATTCTCCCCACTCACTCATCATTTTTTTTATTAAGCCTTTTTTGCTTAGATTGCCCATTTTGTTGGGTTTTCAACCTAACTAGCATTTCAATTCTTTTATTTATTCCCTTTTTTTTGTTTACAAAGAGTAAAAGAAATTCATGCATAGTAAAGGGTGAAAATAAAGTGACATACCCATGATGAGTCTCCTCCCCCACACTTATGTGAAGCACTGTCCCTAGTGCCCACCTTCTCCGCCATAGTAGCTGCCTCCAAAGCCGCTTCCATACCCTCCGTCGCCCATGTGAGCATCGCCGCCGTCCCCTCCATCATAACCTCCACCCCCGGAGCTAGATCCTCCAAAGTTACCCCATTGAGTGGGGTCATACCAAGAGGGGGGTGGGGGTGGTTGAGCCATGGTGTGGAATTAGCCTTGATGAGCCATGTAAGAGTACATATGTAACACTTGAGATTTAATATAAACGGATTAATAGTACTACTCATACCAACAGAGGTGCATCTCCTTTTAAGGGAGCTCATTACCCAAGAACTCCAAAGTTAAGCGTGCTTGCTCGGGAGTAGTCTTGGGATGGGTGACCCCCTGGGAAGTTTCTCAGGGCGCGCATGAGTGAGGACAAAGTGTGCAGTAAAGGCTTGTGGTGGTTTGTGAGGACAGTACTAGAGGTCTGGAGTAACTACCTCGGGTCCCGCGGGTCCGGGGTGTTACAACATAGGTCCATAGAACCTAAGTTGATCTTCTTCGTACCTTCGGTTGTCTTCGGCCCGTTGTTCCTCAAGTCTTCGAAATCCTGCTTATTATTCCACCTATTATTAAAAACTAATTAAAGCCCAATAGTGAACCCACCGCTTCATTAAAAAGCCTTATATAGCCAAGGGGATTCGATCCCTGAATTCCTTCTCAGGCATGTGAATTGCAAGCCACCTCAACTACTTGATCAATGTTAACATTATATGCTTCAATATGCATTTCTATATCATACAATTATTGATATAACCCATAAGATTTTAAACCCAATACCATCAACTACAATTGTTGATATTATTTTGTAATCATAATAATAATAATTTTTTTTGTATTGCATGTCATTATTAAATAAATAAGGTATTAGATATTTATAAATTATTCATTATATTCATAATTATATTTCTACCTATTTTAGAAAAAGGTCCACATTTTATTTTTGCACAGGACCCATGTTTGCTTAGGACCGGCCCTGTTCTTTTCATCATGCTCTATACATATGTATGTAGTGTGGAAGGAAATGGTTGCTGAAGTATTTCCCCCACTCCTTGATTCTGTATGACTTTTCTCTTCAGCAACTATTACTTCCTTCTATTGCTTTTTTAATGTCATGTTGAGCTAGAAAGATATCATTATATTCCAAAATGATAAATATATGGACAGCTAGCTTCTGATCAACCTAACCATCTCGATGAATGAGACAAAATCAAAATGGTCGAGTGAAGTAAAAATGATGTAAAAATTCAGACACGGCGATGCATCTTTGATAGGTGGAAGGGAGACAAAACTTAGTTATGAAAATATTTAAACAAAAATAGCAATACGTCAAACACCTTATTGGTATAATTTACACTCACCTATTAATTTATTCATAAATCTTCACTCTCGGGAAAACTAATTCATATCACCAACATAATTAAACAAACATAAAAGAAAGTAAAAAAACCAGATGACATGTGGTGAAGTTAAAATGAATTTTGCATTTTAACATATTATCATACATGTATTATATGGTGCTTTAATAAGGAAGGTCATGAGCAACCTTCAGTACGAAGCAGAATGGAAGAAGATCTACCTGGAGGTTAGCGCCAAAACACGGACACGGCGGGATAAAGTTATACATATATTGCAGCAAAGATAACGAGGGAGCTAGAAAATTGGTCTGCAACAACTCAGATCTAGGTTAGCATTTGAACCTTCCCCTTTTTATAGGTCTGATGCTCATTAACAATTCATTAATGCTCATTTAACAGATATCATAATTTCCATTGATCTCAATAGAGGAGGTTTGATACTCAATTGAAATATCGTGATTTTCAACTAACAAAGCAACTAATAAATTCAATAATGCTCATTTTGTAAGTTACATATGCTCATCTGGTACATAATAGGTATGCTACTCTTTAAAAGTTCATTAATGCTCATTCACAAGAAACCGTGATTTTCATTTCAATAGCGGATGTTTGATGCTCAATGAAAATGTCGCGATGTTCAACTAACAGAGTAACTAACAAATTCATTAATGCTCATTTTGAAAGTTCTGTATGCTCATTTTGTATTCATATTATGTTCATTTTTAAAATGTCATATCAATGCATATTTCAAAAGTACTCCCTCCGTCCCATTTTGGTTGTCCCACTTTTCTTTTTGGGTTGTCCCAAAATGAATGTCTTGTTTCCTTTTTTGGATGAAATATGTGGTTCTTATCAATTCACTTTATTATACTCAAATCTCAACCACAACTTTTACTTTTCAACCACTTTATTAATAATCGTGCCAAATTGAAAGTGGACAACCATTATGGGACGGAGTAGTATCATATTACGTTAGACTCACATGTTGAAATTAATAGGAGTGAATTATAGATATAATTAGGGGTGGAAATAGGCCAGCCGGCCTGTCAGGGGCCTGTGGCCTGGTCTGTTAAAGGCCTGGCCAGGCCTGCTTAGTAATAAAACTAGGCTTGGACTTTTCAAAAAACCCGTTTATCTAAATAGGTCAGACCTAGCCCAACTCTGAAGCCTTTTTACCTTAACAGGCCGACTTATTTATATGTGTATATATATATATATATGGATATATATATATATTTAGTTATATTTATATTTATTTATATTATTTATATTCATATTTATATTAGTATTCTCAACTATAGCAAAATCGGTATAATAGTATTTTAAGGGAGTGTGTATTATAAATTAGAATAGAATACTATTTTAAATATACATAAAGTGTGTTAATAGTTTATTAAGGTAATTGAAATTCAAAGTTTTTCAAGATTCAGAGTATATAGAAATTTAAAAACTACATAATAATACTCCATAATAATGTATTATTAGACACCCAAAGCAAAAATAACGTATTATTAGACTTTTTAGTGAATATTTGGGGAATAAATTTTATACCGGGTTAACAAGATTTTTCACTTTTCATTTTTTATTGTTTTGAAATTTTGATTTTTTTTCTTAACAGGCCAGGTAAACAGGCTTCAGGCCAGGTCAGGCCCAGGCCGAAAAAAAGGCCTTTAACAGGTAACAGGGCAGTCTCAAGCCTATATATTCTAAAACAGGCCCGGTCTGTTAAGGCGAAAGTCTGGTCTGGCCTGAGCCGTTTCCACCCCTAGATATAATTTAATAAGCTTTTATAAAAGAAAAAAAAGAATTAAAAGATATGAAGCAGATATCGTGATACTCATTATTAGCCTCATAATACTCAATACAATATGTGAGATGCTCAACAAAACTACATTATTGCTCATTTAGTGGGAGCCATGATTTTTCGTTTAAATTACAAAACTGTCACAAAAAAATAGGCTGTTTTTAATTAAATGGACTTTTTTTGGGTCTTTCATTGGATTCATTTAATTCTATTCAAATTGGGTTATAAAAACTGAACTGAAGCTAAAAAAATTAAAAAAAAAATAAATTGGATGTACGGTTCTCACCCGTACACCTGCGTGTACTATATACGTACTCCACCATAAGCGGTGTCTGCCACGTCCACGACCACACTCCACGACCGCCACGTCCCCATCTGCGTGTCTGCCTGTCCCTCGACACACAGCAATCCATACTGTTCTGCAAATTGCTTCCATGTCGTCTCTCTCTTTGCCTTTCTCGTTTGGATTGACATCTCATCAAATCGCATCAAGAGATGGAAGCAGAGAGCTTGCTGGTTTCGGCGGCCATTAACATTGCTTTGGCCCTCTTCCTTCTCTCCCTCTTCTCCGTCCTCAAGAACCAGCCTTTCTATGCGCCCGTATATTATCCTCGCCGTCTCTCCCTCGGTCAGCACCCTTTCGCTTCGGGCAGCCCCTCGGCTCTGAGGCGGCTGCTTCCGTTTGTGCAGTGGATTCGCGGTGCCGTTCGAGTTTCCGATGACCAGATTCTCGAAACCCACGGCCTTGACGTCCTCGTCTTCATCAGGATTTTCAAATTTGGGTAAGAATTGAAGCTTTCCAACCCCCATTCTGTAACTCTTACTCACCCTGTTTAATATTGTTTGCAAAGAAGCGTTTTTTCAGCTTCTGACTTGAACAGATTGAAACAAGTGTTTGTAAATGACAATTTCTGTCACTTAAAAGCTAAAAACTGGTATGTTTAAAGATGTTTTAAACTGTTTTTAGCTTTTCTATTATATTAAAGCACCTTTTTCCAAACATTATGTAACTTTTACTTTTCCAAGAACACTCCTTTCTCTAAACTTACTTTAAAAAAAAGAATTAAGTAGAAGCAATCCCAATTGCTTCCAAGAATTTTCTTTGTTCTATACAAATTTCTCTTTGCTGTTACAAAATAGAGTTGTTCGGGTGCATGTTAAGGCTCTTAACACTTCGGTTCCATCTTAAAGGATATAAAGAGTAGTTCAAAGTTTAATACGGAGTACGTATATATTAGTTTTTTACACCGTATTTCATATTTCATGCACTTTTGGTGTAGAAATGCATTTTTATGCATGCACTACCTATTTGCAGCTCAGCACCTCCTCTACCTTAAAATCTTATTTAATAGGGCACACCTTCAAATTTTATGACACCTTCACGGCTTCACCTGAATCAATTGTTTGACAGGGGCACAACACCTTACACAATTTCACAGGGGCATGACACCATTCTTGATCGTGTAATTGAGATAACTGGTGTTTCTGTTTTTCTTAACTGTGCTAATTCTAGATAGATGGACCATTTGCAGGATCCGCTTCTTTATAGTAAGTTCTCTGGTTGGTGTACTAATCCTTCTTCCCTTGAATTATTTTGGGAGTAATGGACATTCCAAGAGCTACCATTCGATGGATTCTTTTACAATATCTAATATCGAAAGTGGCTCTAACAGGTAATACCCGTATCAAATTTACTTCCAGATTAGGCTCACAATTTTAATGTGCATCATATTTTGTTGCGGTTGGATTCAGCTCATTTTTTACTCATTGTAGTTAGGTAGTTGCTAGCTTGTGACTCAATATATTGCATTTGGCTCTGAACTTGTTGACATTGATTTTTTGGCTAATTAAAGATTCAATGCCGCCATTTCTATTCATGATCACATTGTTAAAATTATTGCCATTTTCTTTATCTCAGTGCAACTGACTTATTACTGGCTCTATTCTGTTTCTCATATCCAATGGTATTAATAAGCTGTTTTCCAATTCTTGCTTTACGGTGAAAAGGCAAAATTTTCCATTTTATTGTTTTAATTATTGGAGATAAAATTAGTGCTGCGCTGATTGGTAGTTGTACGTTTCTCCATTGTGGAATCTAACCTCTGTTCTTTAGATCACATAGCCCAATCAGTAAAATGTTTTCTTTTTTTGACTGTCATTATTACAATGGGAGCACGGGACACACTGCTTTCTCATTTTATTACTTGAAATAGATCCATACTAAGTTTAGTAGTAAAATAATAATAAAAAAACATGAAATTACAAGAATCAATAGTTTTCATTTTAGGTCTCTCATGGACAAGGTCACAATTATAGTGCTAACACTAAAATAAACCATGATATGATATTTTTTTGTTTCACAGGCTTTGGGTGCATTTTTCAGTCCTTTGTTTTGTTTCTTGCTATGGATTATACTTGCTGTACAAGGTAACTTGATCAAATTGCAAATTTTAGGGCTTACATTTAGCTAACCCCTCTTCTGCATTATTCACAATATGCAAGTGGATTCATTGCATGCTTTATTTTTATTGTAGTGTACTAGTGCCCCACGTCGATATACTATATTTTTGGCCAATATATAAGCATGAGAGAAACCTTAGACCTTGAGTATTTTTTGGGGCGGATTAGACGCAATTTAATATAATAATAGAGCATATTGGATTGTGGTTTGTTGTTTAATTGGCCTCCATAATTTAAGTAGACCGTTTGGGGTCAGTTTATCCATTGTCAAGATGTCTTGCTTGATTTGGGGTGAATGGTGTGTTAAGTGTCCCACTTTTTCAGATTTGTGTCTAATACTAGTATATAATTAAATCGCAACCCGTGGGATTGTTTTTGGGGTGAGTTAGACCCAATTTAATAGTTCTTACATTTCAATCATTTAACTCCGAGCAGTATGAATTATGAAAAGATTCTGCTGATTTAGTTGAGAAAAATGAACTAATATGTTTGATCATGTAGTCACAACTTGGAGTTGAACAAAGCGGCCCATCTTAAATGAGCTATCTTGAATTAATTCCTGTTTTCAAAATTATGTCAAGTGAATTCACTTTGTTACATTTCCTTCTTCCATATATCTTTCGACTTGGAGTTAATCAAAGCGTCCCATCTTAAATGCGTTATCTTGAATTAATTCCTGTTACCAAAACTATGTCAAGTGAATTCATTTTGCTTCATCTCCTCCTTCCATATATCTTCTTTGTGTAGATCTTATTTCCTTCTTTTTTCGGTTTAGACATAAATATCTTGTAAGCTAGTATAACATCTGACGAGTAAAAACATCTATTATTGCCAGGAATATGATGATATTTTACATAAAAGGATTCAGCAACTCCGTAACAAAAGGCAATATCCTAATCAGTTTACCATTTTGGTTCGAGAAATTCCATTTTGCCAAGAACACAAGGCTAGGGGATGCTGCATAGAACACTTCTTCTCGAAATATCATCCATACTCATATCACTCATATCAAATTCTTTATGATGGGAAGGAACTTGACAACTTGTTGGTGAGCTTGATATGTGTGTTCATCTAGAACTTGCTGTTTTTTTAAATGGTCACTTTTTTATGTCTTTACACATCTTGGTGATTGACGTGTAACTGGTGCTTTGGATGTAGAACAAGGCAAAGTCTGCTGCAAACAAGCTTGAGGATCTGAAAGTTAAACAATCACTCAAGAAATGCAGTCGAAACTCGTTTTCTTTTCACTCATTTAAAGAGAAAGAAAAGATTGAGAAACTTGAAAAAATGCTTCAGGAACTCGGTTGCAAAATATGGCATGTTAGGCATACAATGATGATTCAAGAGAAGGTTTGTTTTTGTTTATTTATAATTTGTATAAGAATGATGGAACTAATGGTAACATACAGCTAAATCTGCACAATTTTAAATTTTTAATATACCACGTTTGAATTTTTTCTGGTCAAAGGTTTTCAACTTTAAGCAATAATATGATATATTTTTATTAACAATTTTCATAACGTTGAAGTACTATAAAGGCATTCTTTTTTAGTAACACTCATAAACTGATTAAAGTATAAATTTATAATCTTTACTACTATATCCTTCTCGAAATTATTACACAATTTCACTCGGCACAAAGGAGTTTAAGAAGGCAAGAACTGTATGAATATATTGACTAATAACATTCTCAAATCTAAAATGGTGCTTATTAAAGTGCGATAAAGGGGTTAATGTATTATAAACAATGTCTTGCATAGGAGCATTATTTTGATCCAATCGTTCCAGCACTATAATGATAGTTTATTTTACTATTAAGGGCACATTCGGTATGCATGGATATTAATCCCTTTCCATGTTCATCACAAATCACAAATAGTCACATGTTTTGTACATCCGAGAAAGTTTTCCTTGGGAAAAAGTTTTCTTTTATACCAATACCATAATCATAACTATTTGGTGCAACTTTTATTGTTAATGTATGAAAGCATTGACTAAATTACTCTTTTTTTGTACATCAGAAAAGATTGACTTGTGATAGAAATGTGTTTTTCTACAAAGATCTTTTTTTGTTTATTCATTTTCCATGACTAGCCCAATTCATGCTACTCACATCAATCAATTTGTGGAATTATTGGTCTTTCTTCTACTAAATTTAAAGTCATTTCCCTATCTATTCCTTTCCCATACCAAATGATCCGTAAGAATTCGATTGTAAGTTATAACTAGCCTTTTGGTCTTCACTTTTATAGGAATTGCCTGTTGCATTTGTTACATTCAGGTCACGTTGGGGTGCTGTTATAGCAGCTCAATCTCAGCAGCATGCAAATCCCTTAATGTGGATCACCGAAATGGCTCCAGAACCAAGGGATGTACTTTGGGGGAATGTAGCGATTCCATATAAACGATTACCACTTTATGAGATTGGAATACTTGTTGCAGTAGTTGTCCTCACTCTTTTCTTTGCTATACCAGTTGCAGCAGTTCAAGGGATTGCCAAATATGAAAGATTGAGAAAATGGTTTCCTCCCGTAAAAACTTTGGAGTTAATGTAAGAAGTTTCTCTAAATAATAAATATATTCTTTTTTTATATTCATTGATATCAGAGGTGACCACTGACCACTAAAAAAAATTATTTTCGAAACATAATAAAAAAACATTGGTACAACTATTTTACAGTGTATATTCGTCAAGTGTACTTCAGGATTGAGAGACTGATGTTGTTTACAATATGATATGCATGGTGTGTGAAATAATAGTGGGGCCCATACTTAGTTTCTTTTTGAGTTTTAAGATTGTGTACAACTATTTCATACCAAAATATTGGACTCGGTGTATTAGCTAGTTCAACTCATTTCTTATTAACTCATCATTCCCTTTTTATTAATTCAATATATGATCTTAACAAATGTTAAACTTTGACCTATTTTTTTAATCAATATATTATTGGAAATGATAAATTGTACACTCTTAAGTATACAAAGAAGCACAGAGAAGGTTTTTATGCTTCTTCTGGCCCGCTATCTTTCTCTCTCTCTTGTAATTTTGTCCATCCCAATAAATTTGTCCATACTGTATTTGGTACTATTTATATTTTTTTGAATTCATTTGTACTTCGCAAATTTAATATCAACCACGTGTCTCCACTTTTTTTAATAAGAGTCACTTATTCATGTCTCAAACATAGTCGTGTGGTGGTAGTATTACTTTCAGAATTCAGATTATAAATTATTTTACAATAAAATATACTATTAGTCAACGTTTAAAACCATTGTTCAGAAAACTCAATTATGGCTTATTAAAGTGTGACTGATGTTGCTCTAGTAAGTTGTTTTTGCACCGTAAGATCCATGCTTGTTGGTGCAGTTTCTTTTTGTTTGGTTTCAGTAACCTACACAATATTTCTGCAGTCCAGGGCTAAAGTCCGTGGTCACAGGGTACCTCCCAAGTGCCATTCTTAATGGGTTCATTTACGTTATTCCATTTTCCATGATTGGGCTGTCAAGATTAGCTGGTTGTATCACAAGAAGTAAAAGGGATATGAAAGCTTGCAAGATGGTTTTCTATTTTCTAGTGGCAAATGTATTCTTTCTAAGCTTGTTATCAGGGTCTTTACTTGATCAGATTGGCCAATCTTTCTCCCAACCCAAATATATTCCGAGTCGCCTTGCTAGTGCTGTCTCTGCCCAAGTAAGCACATAGTATAAGTGTTTGACATTTTTTTCGGTGTTGTGGGAGAATGCAATTTTGTGACATGGCATACTAATACTTCAAAAGAAGTAGTCTCTGTTTGCCATGACCAGTTGAGATACAATTTTTTCGAAGTTTTTGGTATCAAGACTTGTGGTTGCATTAAAGATCTGATTTTAGATATGAGGTTAAGTTTTATATTTCCCCGATGTGAGATAGATGAACATGCCCTCCTGAGATGGTTGCTTGGGGTAGAACTAGAGCATACCAATCTTCAAGTCTGTATCCTTTCGTTTGAGTTTAACAAGTTCTGCTTTCATATTAAGACTGATGTAGGATGGACTTAAACATTTCATAACACTAAGTTGTAGGAGATGAAAAATTTATAAAGAAAAATTGCAGCTTTTGATTACATAAATAGAAATTACTCCAAATAGGACTAAAACTATGGTAAAAACTCAAAATAGGACTTGTTATGTTTTTATTCCAAAATAGGACCATATTAGTCCTATTGGAAACATACCTACTTTTCATTCCATTCTTACCCCTCCTTTAAATACGAGTAAAAGATAGTTAAAAGTCATAATTAAATGTTTAATTCATAATATATTCGAAAAAATTTCAAAAATTCGTAGAATAATAATAAAAAAATTAATAAAATATATAGAAAATACAAAATAATTTTTGTAACAATTAATAAAAAATAGTAAAAGTCCATAAAAAAAATTAGAAAAAATATGGATGTCTTTCCCACCGCCTGTACTACCTCCCTGCACCACCACCTCCGATCGGTGTAAAAAATGTCATCTTTTCTAAAAACTGCCATTTTTTCTGAAAATGCCGAAATAATGGCATGTTTCTCTTTGAGTATGCCAACGTTTTCACTGTTTTCTGCCATAAATATGGCATTCGTAATGATTTTGGCATTTTTTCCTCTGGTGATTGGAGGTGGTGGTGCATGGGCGGCGGTGATATTTTTTTCAACTTTTTTTTTATTTTTTTTAATTTATTATTATTTAAAATATTTAGACTAATTTTTTGGTATTTTTTACGATTTTAATATTATTTTTGATTATTTTATTATGAATTAAAACATTCCAATAGCTATAAGGATATATTTGTCCAAGACACACATAATTAGTCCTATGAAAACATAGTTTATTTTTTGGTCTTATTTGTGCAAAGTGAGTGACTTTTAGTCCTATTTTGATAATTAACCCTTATATAGATATAAAAATAGTTTAACCCTTGAAAAAGAGAAGATATAATTAACTAATTGAAATCATATAAAGACATAACAAAGCAATTTGGGTTTTCCATGCAGGCAGACTTCTTTATGACATACATCTTGACGAACAGCCTTTCTGGATTTTCTTTGGAAATTCTTCAGCCTGGATTACTTATTTGGGATGCTATAAAAGCATGCACATGGGATGGTGGAAAGGAAAGAAGTCCATATCTCTATTCATTACCTTATTATCGGGTCATTCCTTTCGTTGCTCTATGCACACTTATTGGCGTTGTATACGCAGTCATCTCACCACTACTGCTTCCATTTCTGGTTGGCTACTTTCTCCTTGGCTATGTTGTGTTCATTAACCAGGTGAGAGTTTCACTTTTTAAATCAATTTTTAATTACACGTAATGATTCTACCAGAAGCAATTAGTATGCACTAACTAATAAATGGTGATGCAGATTGAAGATGTTTATATAACTTCATATGATACGTGTGGACAGTATTGGCCATACGTTCATCACTACATCATTGTCGCTCTAGTCCTCATGCAAATTACAATGATCGGTCTTTTTGGACTCAAATCAAAGCCTTCAGCTTCCTTCTCCACTATACCTCTTCTCATTCTCACAATGATCTTTAATCACTACTGTAAGATACGGTTCTATCCTAGCTTTCGCCATCTCTCTGTACAGGTAACTTTACGGTTCCATTTTGGAACTAGCGATATGCCAGGGAAAGATTATATGAAATAAACTACAAAAGCCCTTTGAAAGGGAAAAAATGTTGCCGGAAATAAAACATTGTTCCAAATTCAATAATTTTATTTCGTTTAGTTTGAACTCTTGATATGTATTTCTTCAATACTGAATGAATACTAACAAATTGAAGATATTAAAATTTTGAAAATCATTATATATTTTGAAAATCATTAGATTTAATTTCATTTCCCTAGCATTTTATGGATCCAAACATAGCCTATATCTCCCTTTTCATTTTTTGGAAATTATGGGCTTTTTTGGTTAGGGGATTTCAGTTGTTGGGAGGGGGGAGAAGTGATATTCACTTTTAAATATATTCTAAGACTAACAAAATACATATACATTTCTAAAAAGATCCCGGATGGAACAAATCCTTTCAAGCCCTCAGGATGTTAAATTCAGAAGACATGTGTACTTCACGAAGTTCTTTTTATTCAAGGTCAAGTATAATTGACAGGATGCTGCAATGAATGACGAACTTGATGTAAAGAATGGCGCGTTGGAGGAAAATGTAAGAAATGCGATCGGAGCTTATTCTCCGCCATGCTTGTTGCCTGTGGATTTTCAAGTTGCAGAATCACGTGGCTTTGGGGAGTCCGGCTCAACGCAGCCATTAATACCTTGAAGAAGATATAATTTGCTGTATACGCTTTCCTGTCCCAATATTTTAAGACAGCCATGGTTGCACTTTTTGGAGCATTTTCTTTACTCTGAGTAGTTCTTTCTTTCATTCCGTTCTGTTCACATTTTTGAATATTTTCCGGTGATTTTTTTCGGAGAAACATTGAATAGCTCTATCAACCACCAATGGAAATGAGGTAAGTTAGTTCCAAAGTGATGTTAATCTGGACAAAAGTTGATGAATGTTTGCGCTTCGTCAGTGGTCACTTTCGACTCGGTTCTGATGGTGCATTTCATAAGTTGATCTAGATGCATGGCTGACTCTGGATGGTCTCAGGAATGTACTTTAAGGATCTTTTAAGATGGAATCTGTAGCAAATTAGACATGCATGTACTCTTACGTTTTCACTTCGTCTAGTTTGAGTTGGATTTCATTTAGTCAATAATAACATATCCCACTTGTAATACTAGACTAGGTCTAATTAATGGTGAGAACTACGGTTTCCAATTTAAAAATTTATAATTGTATTTGTTGAGTTTTATCCAACACGATATAGTAAATATATGTATAAATGTGTATGAACAAACTATTTTTACGTGGAAACCCGAAAGGGAGAAAACCACGGGACTTTTTAGGCTAATGTCCAGCCCTCTCTTTCTCATTAGGACTCTCCTCACCATTACATTGTACAAGCTCCCATTAATGGAGTTTTTGAGCTAAGTCTAAAAGAAGGAGAGTTAAAAAGGGATCCTTTTAAATGGAGGGAAACCTCCTATTTATAGGGAATAGGGGGAAAGGGAGCTCTCCACCCTAACGGGCCGAATGGGCCGAAATGGGCCCAAAGGCTGAAACAGGCCTGATAGGCTAAAAATGGGTCTCACTGATTGGGCCCCGTACTACGTAAGTCTTGGGCTCCTGAACAGTAATAGGCTGAGATAATATATCCCAACAGTATTCATTTGATTGGTCAAAAACAATATTTTGATTGGCTCATAAGACAAATGTAAGATACCTTATGGATATCATAGAATCTATCTTTATCAAATGATATATAACACAATAGCACATGCATCAATACTTTCTTGACTATATATATCAGTTTTGCTGCAGAAAGTTTTTAATGGAACAAGGCGGCTTAAATTGATAATAAAACATTCAGCGACAAAAAAGATCAAATGATATATAACACAATAGCACATGTCTCAATACTTTCTCGACTATATATAGCAGTTTCGTTGCAGAAAGTTTTTTTTTAAGGAACAAGGCGGCTTAAATTGATAAGGAAAAAAGGTCATATAAACCCATCTACTGTTCCAAAAACATCATATAGGCCCATATACTTAAAAAACAATCATACATATACATCTACTATTGAAAAACAATCAAGGAGGTCCAATGACTTGTTAGCAACCTGTGATAGCAGGTCACCATCATTATTTTAGCTTTTTCCTTTTAATCTTTCCATTTCTTTTGTCTTACGAGTTACGGTTGCAACATTCTTCGACTCTTCGTTGCGTGTTTCATTTTGATTTTTTCCATTTTCCTTTATTTTTTATTTTTCTTCTTAGTCATCCTTCCTAGACTCCCAGTCATCCTCTACACCCATCTCCTATGAATCATTTCCTTCGAATCATCTAAATCATAGGGAGAATAAATCTAATGTTTTTTTGCTTTTATTTCATTATATCTAACATTTTCAATTCTTCCACAATATTTCAATAATACGGAAATTACACTTTTAATTCATTATTTATTATTCATATTGAGATGTAGGGCCCGTTTGAGGGGGAAATATATAAAATATATTTTATTAATAAAATAAAGAAAACATTATATGAAAAATAGTTAAAATGATTCTCTACAATAACTTCAGTCAATACATCCAGAAAAGTAATTTCAACTTTACTTTTTCTTATTGTTACACAATTTAGCGCATGAAATCAATCGTTATGTGTTCGGTAAAAAAATTTGTTGATACATCTGATAAGCCGAAAAGTAGGGTTACCAATCCGGACTCGTTCACCGTCTATTCAGTATTATACTACATCCATCCCATATATAAAACATGGTCAACTTTTCCTTTTTGGTAGTCCAAAAAAACTTTGATATTTCCCTTTAAAGTAATAAATAGGTGGCTATAGTTATTTCTTTGTCCTTTGTACAAATATCAATCACACAGTTTTTACTTTAATTAATCTACGTGCAAATCATCATTGGCCAAGTTCAATGGGACGAGGGAGTAAATGGTACTCCCTGTTACTGTCTAATTTAAAGGAAATATGGTTTTCACCGTTTAAAATCAGATTAAGAGCCCGTTTGGTAACACGAAAATCGACTGATTCTGTTAAAATTTATGAAGTTATGGCTGATGTAGCTGCATTGGCTTATTCTGCCGATTTAAGGGGAAAAAAATTAAAATATATTTTATTATTAAAATAATGAAAAAGTTATATGTAAAATAGTTAAAATAGTCATCTACTGTAACCTCAGCCAATACAGCCAGAAAAGTAACTCCAACCTTATTTTTTCTTATTATTACACAATTCAGCGCGTGAAAACCAAAAATCACGTGTTTGGTGAAAAAGTTGGCTGATAAGCTAGATAAGCCGAAAAACAGTGTTACCAAATGGCATCTAATAATGTTTATTTCTTTTGCTTTTAAAACGATTAACATTGTAGTTTCTTACAGTGTCAAAAAGTTATACAATGTTTGGGTAATTTTTAAAATCCTTTACATTGGCATCTTTTGTCTCTAAATATAGTTGATAGAAAAACAATATTGGTCTAAAAATTGCAATTTTATAATTTATATTAACTGATGGCCATGTTTGACAAATTACATCTTTTAAGAATGAAACTATTTAAAATATACAAAAATAAGGAAATGTTCTTTTTTAGAAATACCTTCATAAAAGTATAACATTATATTTTTTTACAAACATATTAATTTAAACCATTGTTCAAAGTTTATTGTTGTTGACTAATAAAAGTAAATTTGGCCATGTTTTATGTGACGGAAGTACAAGTTTTGAACACATTTCAAAATTATTCGCACCGGTAAATTATTTCAAAAATATTTTGAAAAATACCACATTTACAAATTTTGAACACAATTACAGTCACTAAAAGTGACTATGGGCATGATGTAAACTTTGAATACATTATAGTCACTGAAAGTTATAAAATCACTTTTTTGTCCATCACTTTTCCAGAATACTAGTGAAAGTTTTCTTGTCTTTTGTACTCGCAATATAATTATGTCTTTAAAATTAAGTCACATAAAAAATATGCATGTCTATCGAGAAAATGTGTATAAAAATTACGGAGTGCAATTTTTGTCCATGCCTAAAAACGTTTTACGTATGTGTTATGCACTTATTATGAGTAAATCATTTTTTCTGATCGATCTTGTCCAGTTCAAAAGATTTTGAAAATGTACATAAAAGTTGTACAAATTTTAGCCTTTGTGTATGCACTAAACATTTAGTATTTTGAAGGGAGAAGAATAATAATTAAAAAATGAAAAAGGAGATGATAAACGAAAAAGAGAAAAACTGAAGACAATAAATTAATCTAGGGAAATGCAAATACAAATGAAAGATAGAATGAAGAAAAGGATAAACAAAAGAAAAAAAAAGTAGACAAACAAGCTACTCCACTTTGAAACTGAGAAGGGGCAACTGGGCAAGGGAGAATGGAGAAGAAAAAGAAAAGCATTTACCTACTATTACTACCTGTTAGTTTCAGGTCACATGGTCTCATTGATTGTTTTTCAATAGTAAGAGTGTCTATGCGATACTTTATTATGTAGAAGGACTTAAGTGATGGTTTTGCATTAGTAGAAGGGCTTATGTGACTCTTTTCCCAATTGATAATAACACATTCAGCGACAAAAGAGATAAAGGGAACACTTTCGGCCATCGACCTCGAACCAATCTGAGAATCAATCATCCTGAATAGAGCAATATGATTCGTTGATCCTGTAATGGTCTATAAGAGACTGGCAGAACAAAGCAAACATAACAAACAAAACAACATGTAGTTCGAAGTAAAAACACAAACAAAGTAAAACAGAAATAGGAATAGTCGTCCAAACCCTAGTCTCACAATTCCTCCGGCGATTCGGGAGGGGGTGGATTAACATCTCTTCGTCTTCTTTTGCCCGTAGACTCCTTTTCGTAACCTCTTCCTCGTTTGCGACCTCATTGTCCAGAATCAGATTGTCCTCATCACCCCTGAGAATCATGTTGTCGCCATTGTTGAACATCACCTCCATCTCTGCAGCACCACACGCAACGGACCAGCGCCCAAGCCCAAGCAACTCTCCATATCCTCTGTCTCGGTGCCCTGCGATTCCCTGCGAATTCTCCTTTGTCGCCACAAAGCCCAAACAAAAGAAACGTAACCTCAAGCCAAGCACCACCTCTTGTCAACACCCCAACTAGCAACGATGATGATGGAATCAAACGCTGCTACCACTTACTCCTTAGCAACTATTGAGTCTTCTACATAATACCTCTTCTTCTCCAACAAGAAACACCGGCAACTATGACCGGAAAAACCGCCCTAGAAACCCTAGGGAAAGACCGCCGTATTTGCAGAAAGTATTTATGCAAGAATTATTTAGTACTCCTTAGATTCTATGAAAAATGCTTAATATATCATTCTATTTACATCATCAATTTAACATTTATTTTCTTTAGTATATTATGCACGACCATAGATACTCTTATGTCCTTTAAAATTTGAATAAACTAACTCTTCATCTTGATCAATGATAATAGTTTTGAAGGTATACAGGTTTGGTTTAACCAAACCGAATTGAAACCGGACCATATGCAATTTGATTTGAGTTTGGTAATATTTCTTCCAAATCGTATTAAACCGAGAACCGAACCAAAACATATAAAAACTGAATAAAACCGAACCGAACTAAAGAAATTCAAAAAAACCTTCATATATTATTAAAAATTAACAAATTCAAATCGAACCAAACCGAAAAATAGTATGATTTTTGTTTGGTAATAATTTTTCCAACCCGTTTCAAACTGAATCGAACCGAAATCGATAAAAACCGAACTGAAACTGATAAAAACCAAACCGAAAACCGATATGCCTAGCCCTAGTTTTGAATGATGTTTTTAATCATTATGCTTGTTGACCAAATAACCATCATATAATTTTCATATTCTAAAGGAATTCTATTACGGGGTATTAGAAAATACCAATTGAACTCGATTTTAGTCATTCTTTCACATTAAGCATTTTCCTACGTGTCAAAGTTTGGTTGTAATGAAAAATTTAAAGATGAATATACATTTTGAACTAGAACTTTTCAAGTTTATGAAGGAAAAAAATCGAATTTTATTGCTATATTTTTATATTTAAATGATGATTAATAAAATGGACTTAATTGAAGTACACTTTTTATATGTCTATCAATATATTTAATCATTTAAATTCTTAACAAACAGATGATAATTATATCTTGACCAGTCGTGTGTAAGTAAAGTTAATCATTGAACTCTAAAAGACCGATTTTTTGATGAGATGTACATAATCTGATTACATTAAAGGACTTGTAGATAAACGTGGTCTTGTGCTAGATCTAAGGAATACAAAATCAACAATCATTAAGGATACTCAATTTCTTGAATGTAATAGTCCATCCTATCTAATGAAAATTATAGACTCTGACCAACAAGACAAAGAGTTGTAAGATGTTAATCATCATTATCATTACCCTTGTTGCAATTGTGAAGTAAATGAGATCGAATTTACGCAACCTTACCCCTCTACTAAAGCAAGGAGAGATCGAATGACCCATAGTGAATATCGCATAAAAAATTACAAGAACTGAATGCTGCTTCTTAAGAAAGATGCGCAAACAATTTAGTGAGTCATTTTGCTTTATTCCATTAAAGTCAAAAATTAGTGAGTCTTTGCTTCCATTGCAAATGATAGAAGAGTTTGTAAAATATTAATACATTGAGAAAAATCAAATAAACATTTCAAAATCAAAGAAAAAGTTGGGTATGAGTCTCAAATGGATGTGTTTTTAATAAAGTGATTATATTACGTGATAGCCCTACCTCCTAATAAATTCATATGTGAGACGTAAAGTGTGTGTACAAACAATACAAAAAACGATATGTTCCCACAATAAAATCCACTTGTAGCTAGGACCAAAATTGTAAACCATTCAATATAATGTAACCAATACCCTTAAAAGTACATACTTATCAACACCCTATAACATTTACTCCCTCCGTCCCATTTTACCTGTTTTACTTTTCTTTTTGGGTTGTCCCAAAATAAGTCTCATCTTTCCCTTTTTTGAAAGATTCACAACATTTCACTTTACTATACTCAAATCCCAACCACAGTTTTTACCTTTTCAACCATTTTATGAAAAATTGTGCCAAAATCAAAGGAGACACATAAAAATGGGACGGATGTAGTTCTTTAATTTGGATCTAGATAAAATGAATCTATATTAAATTTGAAAAAAGTTGTACAAAAATTGTCCGTGTACACAAACAATTAAAAGTGTACACACCAAATGTGTATAATTTATCTTATGTGTGCAACAAGAATGATCCATTAAATTTACAACGTAAAGTTTTCTCTTGTTTTTTTAATTTGGTTGCAATTTACCAGGGCATATTTTCTTGTTTAATTAGGGATTCACACAATGCATGCATAATGGACGTTTTATTCACACTGTCAAATCTCAAATTCAAATATAATGCGCGTTTTATTTTCAGCTCAGATCGATGGAATATACTCCTTCTGTCCCGCTAGAAGGTTCTCATTGACGGTTTATGATGCTTGACTGATAATAAAGCAACTTAATCTCTGTTCACACTCTGATTATTTTTGGTAAATAAAATTTACATATTCAGAAACTATATTAAATCCGCTACAAAGTCGGGAAAAAAGATGTAAGTTTGATAAAAAAATTTGATATATAAAGTAAAAGATTAAAAATGATTTAAGTTAAGATGTGAATAGTGGACGAGAATCTTCTAATGAGACCGAAGTAGTAATATATACAGATTACGTATAACGTATGATGGATTCACGCAATGCACCATGCATAATTCACGTTTATTCAAGTTTCAATCTCTAACTCCAATCTCTGCTCTAATCTCATCTTAATTATAAGTAGAAGACCGAATTGTAGACCACCAATTACTTAACATTTATTCAACACATAATCAAACTAAAATGGAATCCGCAGCCGGGAACTCTCAAACTCCTTCCGGCAGGGCGGAGCGAGGTGGCAGATCTTATTCCGGCGGCGGCGGCGATGACGAGTGGGTTGAACAGACTGGCGTAGCAGCATTTCCCGGAGATCTAAGATATCAACCAGCAGGGTTCAGTACTATAGAACCGTCGTTTTCAAAATCCGGCGAAGTTGGTTGCCCGCCGGCGGAATTAAAAATCAGGGCTGGAGGTAATTCATCAGCAGAATCTAGCGCGGTTGAGGAGCCATATCACTTCACCGGGTTCTCAGACGTGCCGTCGCCGGCGACTGCTTTGAACGTTGAAGAACATCAACCCCAGAATGCGCTGGCACAGCCTTATTATGCTGATGACATCTTTTCTCCCTATCAGGTCATTTAGTCAACTTTTATACAAGTATACTACTTCAATTCCGCTCTTTAATTTTCTCTTAATTTTAATTATAAAAAGTTAATAATTTGAAATTCATATTGATAGAATTTAAAGATGATTTATACGTAGTACATTATAATTTAATTATACTACGTACATATTACGGAGTAGTAAAAATATTTGATCAAATTCAAGTCTATGAATAATGCAAAAATCAGTGTACCGCAATTGTTAAATAACCAAGGATGTTAAACAACAAAGGAAGTACATATTCATTAAATTGGGTTTAATAATTTTTTTTAGTTGTGGGTTGTCATAAATTTAACCATTAATTATGTCAATGTTTGCAAGACACTTATTAGACGTTAATTTCTTCACCGAATTTAAGCTATTAAATCTAGCTAGATCGATCAACCATGAATGGGTCCATTAAATTTGGAGATTATATAAAACCAGATTCCTAAGGTTCATAATTTGATAAAGAAGCCGTTATATTATTGTTCTGCAACAAATTAAAGTTCATAGCCCAAATCAATGCTTAGCCTCCTATCAATCTATATTTGAAAGAGTTAAAGAAAAATGACTTGGAAATTTAGGGATTAATCAATAATAATACGCCATAGGCTATGTTTTCACATCATGTTATGGATTAGAGGAACAAATGGTTACTCCTAATAGATTACGTAGTATAAAATTGGGCCTTAAAATTAGGTTTCTTCATCATAAATCACAACATCAATGTGTTTTCTAATCATAGGAAATGATGAAAAGCAACTTAAATTATCAAATACTACGTACTTCTTTTTACTTCTTTTACATTTCTAATTTTTAATATTTAGTTAGATTCTCATTTGATATCAATCAAAAATGTTTTGTTTGTTTCCTTTAACCGACCTGGCTGGTCTCATTATATACATACTTCCCTTATATCTAATTAACCCTAACATTGCAGGACCATTATCAAAATGAATCCCCAGCAATTGCAATTCCATTAAGATTTCATGATCCAAATCACAGTCTCGGAGAAGTTAGGATGTTTTTACTTGGACTGTAATTTGCCCCAGACCAGACCAGACCAGACCAAATCAGTTCAGACCAGACCAGACTTGGATAGTTATAAAAATACAAAGAAACCAGACCTTACCAGACCAGACCAGTTCAGACCAGACCAGACCAGATCAGACCAGACCAGACCAGACCAGCAAATTACAGTCCAAGTAAAAACATCCTTATTCACTTTACGATCCCAGGACTCCCAACAATCGAGATACCTGCATTTGAGGTAACTCATATATACAAACTTCTGAATTACCCTTTTGGTGTAAGTATGTTTAGAACATTAATCATGCCAATTGTGTGTTGAAGTGTCCCACACCGCAAAACTATAAAATAATAAAACACTATATAAGTTTTTGGGCTACTCCTCATATCAGATCATTTAGGATGGAACTCCGGGTCTTAACATAGTATCAGAGACAATTCCGGTTGTGGTTTGACTGTTTATTTAGCACCCATGATTACGGGTAGCTTGTTAAGAGTCTGTTTGGCCCATTTATACACCCCAATATTATTCAGCCCGGTTCGGGCTGAGGGGACGTGTTGAATTATTTGTTCCACACCGGAAATCTATAAAATAATAAAACACTATATAAGAAAACATTTTAGGATGGAACTCCGGGTCTTATAAGAAAAAGAACCATTTCTTTGAAAACATGCATACGCACTGATGATCAAGCATTAAATAAAGCGCTACAAGTTCCGTTTTGATGATAGAGTCTTTGACTGTTCAGGACCGATATGAAGTGAGGGAGGAGGAAGAAGATGATGATGTTGATGATGATTACGACACCTTAGATGAGGTTTGTAGTTTTTTTGTACACATTAATGGTTTATACTATCTAATCACTACACGAGCTTAGGGCGGATTTAATTAAGAATTGAAGACATGTTTATAAGATTTGATGCTTTTAAGTAGTTTATGCAATAGATCGAGTGATCATTACGTACTCTACTACTTGCATAGTCCATAAGTTATGCCAATTTTTTTGCCATTAAGAGAAAAGTTAATTTGTTTCATTAAAAGCTGAGAATACAAATTTTATAGGTAGGACAAAATGCAAAAGAGAAGCTAGCATGCATACAATTTAGTGAAGTACAATTCTAGTACTCCGTATGACATTTTAAAATCATCGTAGTTGAGCAATGAGCATGCACGAAATATGCACATAACATCCACGACTCACGCACATATCAACGAGTTAGTGTGATCAAATACTAACGTTGCAATAAGAATAATTTATAACTTGTATGAAAATAAATGTAAAAGTTACTTAATTAATTTTTTAAAAGTTGATCCTGACTTTTGAATTAATTTGTAAATTAAATGGTTGACTGAGAATATTTCAGGAAGACGACAACAGTCCGAGAATTTCATCATGCTGCATTTGTATGGTAAGTAAAACTGACATTTAATTTACATTCTACAACTTTAAACAAATTATTTGATTTCCCAATTAATCTCTTATGGTGTCAATATGTACGTGTTTCCATGCACGCAGGCAGATTTTAGTGATGGTGAAGTGGTGGGAGATTTGGAGTGTGGACATAAATACCATGAATCATGCATCCGCGAATGGCTAAGGAGTAGGAATACTTGCCCTCTTTGTAGGAAGATAGTAAATATTTCCAAAAATTAGTTTAATTAGCGAAAATGACATGTATATTACTATCAGAGTTTTCTCAGACAAAAATATGACTAGGTATATTATTTCACAAAAATATGACTAATCACTATGTACAAGTAACTAGGCAAGAGTCACTACCATATATTTTAGAGTGACGGGTCACTGGTAGATGATGAGTCACTGAAAACTGGTCACTGAATATGTCACTTTTTTGAAAAAAAATTAAAATAAGTCATATTTTTGTCTTTTGAATTTAATTTAGTGAAAAATCCTTAATTAGCATTTTAAAACTATTATAATGACCATGCAATGCTATTAGTTACGGGCCAGGCTTATATACGTAGTATATGCCAACATCATTTTAATCCCCTTTGAGTTAACTCACTTGCACTGGTGAAAATGTCATTAGGCGGGGCTTGATAAGACATGCGGGCGGGCGGGCAGCGCTTTTAGATGCCTTGTAACTCGGTGCCCGAAATCAAAATTTAAAAATGCTTATTTTCAAAAATGTGTTGCAAAGTTTGCTGTGTTTTACCGTTATAAGCGCCACATGTTTTAAAAAAGTGTCGCAACGTTTGCTGTGGTTTAACGGCTCATTTGTTTTTAATTTGGTTGCAATTTTCCAGGGCATATTATCCTGTTTAATTAGGGATTCACACAATGCATGCATAATGCACTTATGCACGTTTTCTTCACACTGTCAAATGCACGTTTTATTTACAGCCCAGATAGATGGAATATAATATACTATCGTATACAGTATCAGATTACGTATAACGTATGAGGGATTCACACAATGCACATTGCATAATTTGTTGGGTTTTTCCTTTGTTTTTGACCCATGAGGAAAGCCCAAGTATTGAGCCCATTAAAAGTCTTCTTTGACTTTGTGTGTTTGGGAGCTAATAATCAAAAATATGGGTTAGCTACTATCTCAATACATGAGGACAGAAAGAGAGCAGCAGAAAAGAGAGAACAAGTCACAAAACATGAGCTGAAATGCTCATCCCGTTTTTCAGCAGGCAGCAGCAGAAAAATCCGTTTCCCGGAGATTGAACCGTTGGATCGTCTTGATTTTTGGACAGCAGCTTCACAGCATCTGGGCCAACATTCTGGACGGTGGAGATCGGGTTTTGAGGTCCGGAGGTCGGGTTTCGTTGGTCTGGACAGTAGCTATTTTTCTGGTGATATTTTTCTTATCTTGGCTCTATTTGATTCCATACACCTTGATGTGCTTACTTCCAAGGATATGATGATTTTGTATGCCTCTAGTATTATCTAGAGAAGACTTTGTACTGCTCCTTTGATGATGATAGTGGATTTAAGCGGTCAAAATGGTCCCGTGGTTTTTCCCTAGTTAACGGGTTTTCCACGCTAAAATTCCGGTGTTTGTGTGTGGTGTGTGCTTACTGTTTTAGCTGAAAATATTGGTGTGTGGCAACAATATTGTGTGTGTTCTAATTGCATTAAGAACACCCTATTTGTTTGCATCCTCAAAGGTTCATTCAAGTTGGGGAAAGTTTAGCCAAACGGAGATTAATTCCGCATTTTATTAGTTCCGTTTGTGGCTGTTTTTCCCATCAAATTGGTATCAGAGCCAGGTTCTTCTGTATTGGGTTAAACTTGTTTGAATAATGGAAGCAAACACAAGTAGGATGATCAATTTGAATGGTTCTAATTATCATGTTTGGAAAGGCAAAATGGAAGACCTACTTTATGTGAAGGATTATTATTTGCCTGTATTTACTACTGATAAACCTGAGAGTAAAACAGATGCAGAGTGGAATATTTTGCATAGACAGGTTTGTGGGTATATTCGTCAGTGGGTTGATGATAATGTTTTGAACCATATTAGCGGGGAAACTCATGCTCGCAGTTTGTGGAACAAGCTTGAACAGTTGTATGCTCGAAAGACCGGGAACAATAAATTGTTCTTAATTAAACAGATGATGAGCTTGAAATACCATGATGGAACTCCTGTCACTGATCATTTGAATTCTTTTCAGGGAATCATAAATCAACTTGCAGGAATGGGTATCAAGTTTGAAGATGAGATACAAGGCTTGTGGCTCCTTGGCACTTTATCGGACTCATGGGAGACTTTTAGGACATCATTGTCCAACTCTGCACCAGATGGTATTATCACCATGGAATTAGCTAAAGGCAGTGTTTTAAATGAAGAGATGAGAAGAAAGTCACAAAGTTCCTCTTCACATTCTGATGTCTTAGTTACAGAAAGTAGGGGGAGAAGTCAGAGTAGAGGTCCAGGTAACAAAGGGAAGCATCGAAGTAAATCCAAAGGAAAATTTGCTGATTTTGAGTGCTATCATTGTGGTAGAAAAGGCCACACAATACGGTTCTGCAGGCAATTGAAAAAGGAGAAGAAGAAGAGCGATTACAACAATCAAAAGAACCATAAGAAAGATGAGGGTGGTAATGGCAATGCTGAAGTTAACACTACTACCGATGAGTTCCTTATTTGTTCTGATCTTGATATGGTCAACATTGCACATGATGATTCCAGTTGGGTTGTTGATAGTGGTGCTACTTGTCATGTAACATCACAGAGAGATTTTTATTCATCTTACACTCCAGGTAACTTTGGTAATGTTAGGATGGGTAATAATGGGCTATCAAAAATTGCAGGCATCGGAGATATTTGTTTGAAGTTTGATACTGGGATAGAGTTGGTTTTACATAATGTAAAACATGTTCCAGATATGAGACTTAATTTGATCTCCGCGGGCTTACTTGATGATGATGGTTACAGCAACAACTTTGGTAATGGAATATGGAAACTCACTCGTGGTTCTTTGATCGTGGCTAGAGGTAAAAGATGCTCAAAGTTGTACATGACACATCCGAAGATCTTCAAGGATAGGGTCAATGCTGTGGTGAATACTGACATGACTGATTTATGGCATAAGAGACTTGGTCACATGAGTGAAAAGGGGATGTCTCTTTTGTTGAATAGAAATGTGTTACCGGGTGTGCATGATATTCATTTAAAGAAGTGTTTGCACTGTTTGGCAGGTAAACAGAACAGGGTTTCCTTTAAGAGCCATCCTCCTTCCAGGAAGGAGAGTATACTTGATGTTTGTGGTCCTATGAAGACTAGGACACTTGGTGGTTGCTCCTACTTTGTCACATTCATTGATGATCACTCCAGAAAGGTATGGGTCTATACCTTGAAATCTAAAGATCAAGTATTTGAGGTGTTTAAGCAGTTTCATGCCTCGGTTGAGAGACAGACTGGAAAGAAGCTCAAGTGTATTCGGACAGATAATGGAGGGGAATACATTGGCCCCTTTGATGCTTATTGTAGAGACCATGGTATTCGACATCAAAAGAGTCCTCCCAAGACACCGCAGTTGAATGGATTAGCAGAGCGGATGAACAGAACTTTGATGGAGCGTGTCAGATGTTTGTTGTCACATGCAGGGCTGCCAAATTCATTCTGGGGAGAAGCTTTGAATACAGCGGTACATGTTATTAATCTAACTCCTTGTGTTCCTTTGTCTTTTGATGTACCTGACAGGGTTTGGAGTGGCAAAGATGTTTCTTACCGTCATTTGAGGGTCTTTGGATGCAAAGCTTTTGTGCACATTCCTAAGGATGAAAGATCAAAGCTTGATGTGAAGTCCAAACCATGTGTTTTCTTGGGTTATGGCCAAGATGAGTTTGGTTACAGATTATATGATCCGGTCCACAAGAAACTTATTCGAAGCCGAGATGTTGTGTTTGTGGAAGATCAAACCTTGAAAGATGCTGAGAAGAAAGATACAGTTCCTCAACATAATGATGATGTTACTGATTTGGATCCAGTGCCTCCTCAGCATGTAGAACCACCTCTTGATAATGATGTTCAGAATGATGAACAACATGATACTGATGCTCCAGAACAGCCAGAGGTGGATGAAGAATTTCACTTAGGCGGTCTACAAGAGATCGTCATCCTTCCACCCGTTTTTCAGCTAATGAGTATGTCTTACTCACTGATGGGGGAGAGCCTGATTGCTATGCAGAGGCCATGGAAGATGAGCACAAAAGGGAGTGGGTTGAAGCCATGCAAGATGAGATGAATTCCTTACATGAGAATAATACATTTGAGTTGGTGAAGTTGCCTAAAGGCAAGAGAGCTTTGAAGAACAAGTGGGTTTACAAAGTGAAGACTGAAGAGCACACCTCACAACCTAGGTACAAGGCTAGATTGGTGGTCAAAGGGTTCAGTCAGAGAAAGGGTATTGATTTTGATGAGATTTTCTCCCCGGTCGTGAAGATGGGATCTATTCGTGTTGTTCTGGGTTTGGCAGCCAGCCTTGATCTCGAGGTTGAACAGATGGATGTCAAAACAACTTTTCTTCATGGTGACTTGGATAAAGAAATCTACATGGAGCAACCTGAAGAACCTGAAGGGTTTCAGGTTAAGGGAAAAGAAGGCTATGTGTGTAGACTTCAAAAGAGTCTTTATGGGTTGAAGCAAGCACCAAGACAGTGGTACAAGAAGTTTGAGTCAGTTATGGGGGAGCAAAATTACCGAAAGACTACTTCAGACCATTGTGTTTTCTTCCAGAGGTTCGATGATGATGATTTCATTATTTTATTGTTATATGTTGATGACATGTTAATTGTTGGCAAGAATACAGAAAGAATTACTCAGCTGAAGATGCAATTGAGCAAGTCTTTTGCTATGAAAGACTTGGGGCCAGCAAAACAGATTCTTGGCATTCGGATCACTCGAGATAGAGCTTTGAAGAAGCTACACATGTCACAGGAGCAATACATTGAGAAGGTGCTTCGCAGATTCAACATGGACAAAGCTAAAGAGGTTAGTTCACCTCTTACTACCAACTTCAGGTTGACAGATAAAGATTGTCCATCTTCTGAGAAGAAGATTGAAGAGATGGATAGAGTTCCTTATGCCTCAGCTGTAGGGAGTTTGATGTATGCTATGGTGTGCACACGGCCTGATATTGCCCATGCAGTAGGTGTTGTTAGTCGTTTTCTGTCAAATCCAGGTAAGAAGCATTGGGAAGCAGTGAAGTGGATTCTCATATATCTACGTGGTACTTCCAAATTGGGTATAACATTTGGAAATGGGAAGCCAATACTTGTTGGTTATACTGATTCTGATATGGCAGGAAATAAGGACAACGTAACATGAAATCCACTTCTGGATATTTGATGACTTTTGCAGGGGGAGCTGTGTCATGGCAATCGAGACTGCAAAAGTGTGTGGTTCTATCCACCACCGAGGCTGAGTATGTGGCTGCAACAGAAGCGTGTAAGGAGCTATTATGGCTCAAAAGATTTATGCAAGAGATTGACTTTATGCATCAACGCTACGTGGTTCTTTGTGATAATCAAAGTACCATTCACCTTGCCAAAAATTCTATGTTTCACAAACGAACCAAACATATCGATGTGAGGTATCATTGGATTAGAGATGCATTTGAAGACAAACTGTTTGAACTTGATAAAGTTCATACCGATGATAATGGTGCCGATATGTTGACGAAGGTTCTAGCAAGGGAAAAATTGAAGGTATGTTGCTCCATCGCCGGTATGGCGAACTCTTCCTCATAAGTCAAAAAGGGGGAGATTTGTTGGGTTTTTCCTTTGTTTTTGACCCATGAGGAAAGCCCAAGTATTGAGCCCATTAAAAGTCTTCTTTGACTTTGTGTGTTTGGGAGCTAATAATCAAAAATATGGGTTAGATACTATCTCAATACATGAGGACAGAAAGAGAGCAGCAGAAAAGAGAGAACAAGTCACAAAACATGAGCTGAAATGCTCATCCCGTTTTTCAGCAGGCAGCAGCAGAAAAATTCCGTTTCCCGGAGATTGAACCGTTGGATCGTCGTGATTTTTGGACAGCAGCTTCACAGCATCTGGGCCAACATTCTGGACGGTGGAGATCGGGTTTTGAAGTCCGGAGGTCGGGTTTCGTTGGTCTGGACAGTAGCTATTTTTCTGGTGATATTTTTCTTATCATGGCTCTATTTGATTCCATACACCTTGATGTGCTTACTTCCAAGGATATGATGATTTTGTATGCCTCTAGTATTATCTAGAGAAGACTTTGTACTGCTCCTTTGATGATGATAGTGGATTTAAGCGGCCAAAATGGTCCCGTGGTTTTTCCCTAGTTAACGGGTTTTCCACGCTAAAATTCCGGTGTTTGTGTGTGGTGTGTGCTTACTGTTTTAGCTGAAAATATTGGTGTGTGGCAGCAATATTGTGTGTGTTCTAATTGCATTAAGAACACCCTATTTGTTTGCATCCTCAAAGGTTCATTCAAGTTGGGGAAAGTTTAGCCAAACGGAGATTAATTCCGCATTTTATTAGTTCCGTTTGTGGCTGTTTTTCCCATCATAATTCACGTTTTATTCAAGTTTCAAACTCCAAGCCCAATCTCTGCTCCAATCTCATCTTAATTATAAGTAGAAGACCAAATTGTAGTCTGTAGACCACTAACTACTTAACATTTATTTAACCCATAATTAAACTAAAATGGAATCCGCAGCCGGGAACTCTCAAACTCCTTCCGGCAGGGCGGAGCAAAGTGGCAGATCATATTCCGGCTGCGATGACGAGAAGGTTGAACAGGCTGGCGTAGCAGCATTTCCCGGCGAACTAAGATATCGAGCAGCAGTGTTCAATACTATAGAAACGTACACACAAAAAAATCAATGAAACGTACACACTCCAACTCTTTGTCTCTCAAAAATAAGTCTTACATGACACAATATAATACTTCCTCCGTTCCTTTTTATTTAGCCTAACATTATTTTTCAAGTGAATGACGTTAAACTTTGACCGATTATATATTAATATACTCTAGTATTGATAATATGAAAATTTATGAGAATATTCTTTGCAATAAATACTATCATACAATTTTTCATAAATATATTAGTTAAAATAATAGATCAAAGTTTATCATCTTTGACTTGAAAATTCAAATATAGAGGAATAAAAAGGGAGGAAGTAGTACAAGAAAACTGTAGCAACCAACTTGTTAATTAAGATTCAGGAGAATATTCCAAATGTTCAATCTGAGACAAACACTTCTACACAATTTTTACACAATGCACAACGCATAATGCACGTTTTACTCACACTGTCAAATGCACGTTTTATTTACAGCTCAGATTACAGTATCAGATTACGTCACTACTACATTTTTGGGCCTAATGCAACGTTTTGTGTGTAACGGTTAGTAACAACGTTACATTAAGTGCATCTATTGTAATGGTAATATATCATTTGGTTCATTCGCGTAACTACTGTTACATACCGTTACATTTAGTTTTGTTCTAATGTAACACTATTTTTTCTTTTGGATATATACAAACATCCGCTTAAAAATGTTACATTTTTTGATAGGCTAAGGTAATACTTTATGAGAAAGCTTTAGCGCCAAAGAATTAAAAAATTTCGCACCATCCCGCCAAACTAAAATATGTTAAGTGCAAACACGTACTATTCCGCCAAATCATAGGGCCAAATTACCTAAATCATAACCAAATCAAAACAAAACCCTAAGCAATCCCCATTCGCACTTCAGGTTTTGTTTTCGCTGAGAGAGCCGATTGGTATTCTTTGGTTTCTTCTGGTTTCGCTGAGAGATAATCGTCCAGAGCCGCACATCCCAGAGCAGATTCCGACTGGTATTCTTCTGGTTTGAGAGCTAATCGGCCAGAGCCGCACATCCCAGAGCGGATTTGTGATTCCCTCCGGTGAGCCGCACATCGCGCACGCTGAGCCGCTAAGAGGTGTGTTTCTTTCTACTCATCTGTGTGTTTCATTCATGTTTGTAGTTTTAATTCATGAACCAGTTCATGACCCTAGCAGACTGTAGAATTCTTTGGCAGGCCACTTCTCTCTCCCGTTTCCCGGCTTAGCTTTTCCTTTCTCTCTAATCTTTCAATTATTGAGGCTGCAATGGGTGGGGAGAGTTCAGCAGATGTTGTCCGTTGAACTGGCTTGTTCATACATTTCCAAGGTCAAAGCCAGAAACTAGGTTTTCATTATTTCATATTAATTAAATTAAGGTCTGAGCGAGAGAAATTGTCTGATTATAGATACCAATTACCACCTAAGCACCTAGCATGCTTGTTCACTAGAAAATTAAGTTTTTTCTGTTTCTTTAGCCATAGCAGCCCACAAATATGTGGAATACATTGTCACGGAGTAGGCGGGGCAAGAAAATACCTCATTATGAGGTCAAAGTTTAAAACAACAACATACTTCCTCATTAAAAAAACCAGTCCAGTCCATCCTTGTAGTTGACGGACTTAGGGTTCTCACACATTAAAGGGTGGAAAAATGATGGGGTTCAATATATGCTTTTGACAAACCTCTGCCAGCATCAGTGATGTTATTGCTTTCAGTCCTTAAAATCAGTTCCTTAAAGCTTTCAGTCCTTTGCTTTTAAAAAAATGATTCCTTTCAATAAGAGAACTTTCAATTAACTACTGAATAAGTTACTGTTGGATCTTTTGAGGAATGACTCTAGCTTATTGAGTAGTTAATTGAAAGTAACCTTATTGAAGGGAATCTTTTTTTTTAAAGAAAAGGACTGAAAGCTTTAAAAAATTGATTTTAAGGAATGACTCTCATCCTTCTGTCCATTATACTGATGTTTTTGTATAACAGATCGACTTTTCTGATTAAACACCGTTTTGTTACAATACTGCACACACAGTTCTTCCCATAGTAGATGCGCAAGAGTTGGTGATGAGCTTACATCGTTTGATCATTATTGCCTTCTATGCATATTGTTTATGTTTAAAAAATGTTTTTAAACATTATTAGCACATATTTTAAACAATATTAGCCTCTATTTTCATGAGAGAAGTTCAAGAGGTACTGAGTAATGCAAGTTAAAGAGGGACTGGGACCTATTGTACCGGTTCTGGTCTGATATGCAGACTGGCCAGCTCATGTTTAGTCTTGTGTTTTTCAGTTTATTTTTTTTATAAGAGTTATATATTTGCTAAATGCATATCCAAAAACAAAAGCAAAAACACATTATTATTTGAATTTTTAAAAAGTAGCTTTATGTAAACCTCCTGCCCTATTCCCGTTTGCTTTGAAAAGCCATTACGATAGAAACCAGCTGGTTTTGTTGGACCGAGCGGCTTCCTGGAATAGCATTTGAGGGAGTGGATTGTAGTTCATTCGGTTGTAGGCTTGTAGCTATACTAAGCATATGTTTTTAACTTCCCATAGAATAGTACAAATACGTAATACTTCTGGGTCTAATTCAAACGTAATAGCTAACTTCGACCATTACACATACTATATGATTCCAAACCTTCCCCCAAAAATTACTTACATATACATATACATATACATATACATATACATATACATATACATATGCATATACATATACATATACATATACATATACATATACATATACATATACATATACATATACATATACATATACATATACATATACATATACATATACATATACATATACATATACATATACATATATACATACATACATACATATATACATACATACATATATATATATATATATGTAGAGAGAGCGAGGGATGCATAATAGTTAGACTATACTCCGTATTTAATTATTATTAAACTATTCATTTTAGCTTTCATAGTCAATTTCCCGATACCCAGTGCATTACACAAATGACTTATTTTGTGTGTGTTTTCAAAAGGAAAAGTTGCAGGATTGTAGTTATGTCTTGTTTTGAATATGCATCTTTCTTCTTTTATGTTTGTAGTTATTAGTATACACACAATAATAAATGTGAAATGGAGAAAGGACCATATGATTATATGGTCAGTTCAGAATGATGTTTCTTCCTATGCTTGCTTGTACCACTTTAATGCTAACTCTCTACATGAATGCATCTAAATCTTAAATGTTTATATATTTACAAAATACTACAGAACTTTTAATATGTTTTAGCTTATTCTAGCATCTAAAGCTTATATGTTTCCACCTATTTGTATTTTTTGAGTGTGCTAATGTATTTGTGCTTATACGAATCTTGAATAATTCATGTCTTAAGGTGTCCACTTTTCTGTATTTTGATTTTCTCTGATTTTATATGCATGATTATTTTGTGTATGTGTGAGCTAGAATCAACTTACTCTTTGGAAACATACATCTATTTTGTTTTTTAGTTTTAATTTTACTTTCAATCTTTGTTTCTGATTTAAGTGATCATTTAGATGTTGTACTATCAATATGAAGTGTAGATAGGCATTGCAACTTTTTATTCTTCTATTACACTTAGGTCATGGAAAATAGAAAAAAAGACTGGTGGGAATTTCCTAAATGGGCTGACGAGTTTGAAAGTGGAGTTGATGAGTATCTTGAGAAAGCATTTGCGACTGAAGCAGAAGGAGATCAAATTTGTTGCCCATGTACCAAGTGCTTGTACCGCTACTGGTTGCATAGAAATGTTGTGAGGGACCATGTAATATGTAAGGGTTTTGTTCCGAGGATAGGGAATGAGATGGACTCACGGAACCACATTGAAAGCTCATCATTCGATAATAGGTATGGATCAGAATTTAATGATAATATAGGTGGATTATTACAAGATACTCTTAGGGTTGGGCCAAATGAAGAGGCACAGAAGTTTTATAAGTTAGTAGAAGAGGGGCAAGAAGAATTATACCCGGGCTGCAAGAACTTTTCAAAGCTTTCCTTCACAATTCAATTGTTTCTTTTCAAATGTGACCATAAGATAAGCAACACAGCCTTTTCTGATTTGTTAGATCTGATAAGAGCTATGCAACCAGAAGCAAAGTTGCCATCATCTTTTAACGAGGCAAATAATGTTATAAAGGTCTTGGGGCTTGACTATACTAAGATCGATGCATGTCCAAATGACTGCATGTTGTACTGGGATGAGCATGCAGACGCTACATGTTGTCACATATGTCAAACTCCTAGGTGGAAATCAGATAATAAGGATGACAATAATAAAAAGTGTCATCGAATTCCAGCGAAGATTCTGAGGTACTTTCCTATAAAAAAAAGGTTGCAAAGATTATTTATGTCTTCAGAGACCGCTAGTTATATGACCTGGCATGCAAATGGGCGGCAGAATGATGGACTTCTAAGACATCCGGCTGATGGTGAGGCTTGGAAAGATTTTGATACATTGTATCCAACATTTTCTAAAGATCCCCGTAATGTGAGGTTAGGGTTGGCAGCAGATGGATTTAACCCATTTAATAATATGAGCATCTCCCATAGTACATGGCCGATTGTGCTCATCAACTATAACCTGCCGCCGTGGATGTATATGAAGCCGGAGTATTTCATGCTTGCTTTACTTATTCCAGGTCCTTTATCCCCAGGAAATGAGATTGATGTATATATGCAACCTTTAATCAAAGATCTAAAGGATTTATGGGAATTTGGGCTTGATACGTATGATGCTTCAACCAATCAAATGTTTACTATGCATGCAGCTTTACACACCACCATTAGTGATTTTCCAGCTTATGCAATGCTATCTGGGTGGAGTACAAAAGGGAAGATGGCATGTCCATGTTGCCATTATGAAACTAGCGCTACAAGTTTACCTCATAGTGGAAAGATCTGTTATATGGATCACCGTAGATTTCTGGGTGAGAATCACTGTTGGCGACGTAATAGGAGGCAATTTCATGGGAGGGTAGAGAATAGAAGTGCCCCTAATCGCTTGACAGGGACTGAGATTGTGCAGTTGCTAAGCGAATTTCAAAATGTATTTGGAAAGAAAAAAAAGAAGAAGAAGAAGGATCAAAATCAGAATCCATGGAGAAAAATTTCTTCTCTTTTTCAGTTGCCATATTGGCAGACTAATAAATGTCGCCATAACCTTGATGCCATGCACATAGAAAAAAACGTGTTTGATAATGTTGTTGGCACATTGTTAAACATCCCAGGAAAGACCAAAGATCATATAAAAGCACGTGAGGATTTGATAGAACTCGACATTATGCCTGAGCTTCAACCTAAACAATCTGAAGATGGACAAATTATTGAAATCCCGGAAGCTATCTTTGCAATGAGTTCAGAGGAGAAGCAGGCATTTTGTTTAGTCATAAAAGAAGCTAAACTACCACAGGGTTATGCTTCTAATATCAAACGATGTGTGCAAACTGGAGACATGAAAATTGCTAACTATAAGAGCCATGATGCACATTTCATGATGCATTATTTACTGCCAATTGCTGCGAGAATTGGTCTGCATAAGGAAGTGGCTGCTCCCGTGATTAGACTGTGCTTTTTTTTTAAAGCTATATGGTCTAAAGTTGTAGATCCTAAAGATTTGGACCACTTGCAATCTGAAATAGCTGAGACTCTCTGTGAGTTTGAAAAGATGTTTCCACCCTCCTTCTTTGACATAATGGTTCACCTACCTATTCACCTAGTTGAGGAGATTAGACTTGGTGGTCCGGTTGCATCAAGATGCATGTATTCAATTGAAAGATATCTTCGGACGTTGAAATCACACGTAAAGAACAAGGCACGTCCAGAGGGATCAATGGCGGAAGGTTACTTAACTCATGAATGTGTAACCTTTTGTTCTAGATATTTGAGTCGTGCATCAAGACAAGACCCAAATCATGCAAATATGGGTGATGAGCAGAGTCCTACTTTTCCCAGGATGGGCTATCCTGTAAAAGGGAAAGGCAGAAAAAAGAAGAACAAATGTTTTGGTTTCAAGATTGACCTTCAGACATGGAATCAAGTGCAACGATATGTGTTATTCAACTGCGAGAGTGAAGAGATTGAGAAATACATTAAGTAAGAACCGTTGCTATTTTTTATTATTAATTATTATACATTTTTTCATATTTTTTTTTACTAACCCCAAGAGTGTTGTTACAATACAGTGAACACAAGACGTCTCTTGCTAGTCGAAATAAAAGAAAATGGGACACCCTCCAGAACCATAGCAAAGATTTCATTGACTGGTTTCGAGAGAAAGTTGACTATGAGATTCAAGAAGGTCTTGAAGTACTTGATCATATCAAAATCTTGTCTACAGGGCCTTCTCACATAGCTAGAAAGTATACGGGATATGCTATCAATGGCTTCAGATTCCACACTGCGGACCGTGATGCGAATTGTGTGACGGACAATAGTGGAGTCACACTGACTGCACAAACTCCTAGCTTTGCGAGTAGCAGAGACAAAAATCCTATTGTTGGAGACGTTAAGTATTATGGCTCAGTTCAAGAAATCATTGAGATAAGTTATAGTGATAAATTCAGTTTTGTGTTATTCAGATGCACGTGGTTTCATTCTGAGAGAGATGATTATGGACTTACTCGGGTTAACCGTTCCAAGTTCATTTCTAAAAATGAACCATTCATTTTAGCATCTCAAGCACATCAGGCATTCTATGTTGAAGACCCCACTAAGAAGGGCTGGTACTATGCAGTGGAAAACCTTCCTAAAGAAGAGTTTCAATTGTACTAGTAATACATTTTTCTTTCTATAGGTAGATATAAGTTCAGATTTTCATATTAAAGTTTGTAGGAATACTATTTTTACTAGTATTACAGTTTGTAGGAATGCCAATAATCTGTATTTATATTTGTATGTGAATTTTTCAATCATTCATAACTTAGTAATACATATTTTTAAATGTGATGTTTAATCTAGATCTTATTTGATTCACTTCTGCAGATGGGGAAAAAAAGAGGTTCCTCTCAATGTAGCGGACGTGAAGAGCTGACAGACTATGAAAAGGAAAGGTTAAAGAGGTTGGAAATGAATGAACAAAAAATGCATGCATTAGGGTTAACAAGTCTAGCAAATAAGGTGATCTTCCAAACGAAAGATAAACTGAGCACAGACCAGTTTACCAATGATATTGACCTAGAAGACGCAGATTACACACCGAGTGGTGATGAGAATGATGAATCAAATCATCCAAAGGTGTGTTAATTTAAACATTTCATTACATTGGTACGTATAAAACACACACAGAAGCTACCTGAAAGTAAGTTTTTAGTATTACTAGTTAATTAATTGTAGTATATAGACCTTCATTGCCAGTTAGTTTTTATATGTGTAGTGTTAGTGTATTTGACAGATCACATATAGTGCTTGTTGAAAACTTCTACTCTTAATAGAATATAGACCTCCTACAGTTGCAAAAGATATGATAATTCGTCTAGAAGGAAAAAAACAGATCCTAAACCAAGGGAAGAAAATAATGGAAATAATAATTAATTACCAGATCCTAAAACAGTAAAACACAGCCTTGATTGGAGAGAGGAGAGAATGACTTTTCTAGCCTTATACTAGTATTCATATTAATATTAACATCTTAGAAGTAACCCAGACTATAAGTTCAAATTTACTAGTTATACGGATTTTTCTATTAAATGAAATTGTGAAATACTAAGTACTTCATTACTTCATATATGTTATGGGTCTGGACATATATTTCAGATTTTCAGGTTTGGCACCTAGTATAACTGAGACTGGACTTGTATTAAATTACTAACCATACCTATTCATTCCAGTCCAGTTTAGCTCCAGAATAATATGAACCCTCCTCTTTATTCCAGTCCAGTTCATGAAAGCTATTCATTCTTCAGTAAAGCCTGTAGTGTTGATTCAATATGTGTTTCTTACAGGTATCAATGAAGGGAAAAGGTCAACGTACGAAGGTAGAGGCTGCTAGAAGTTCTGGGACATCAACTGATCAAACTTTGGTTAAGGTTAGTTCTAAAAAGGAAGCTGCAAGGGTTCTCAAGGATCAAGGCACACGTGGCAGGAAGAAGCCTATTTCTGATCCAAAGGCACAAAAAATCGCTCCAGGATCCATGGCCTTGTACTTTGAAATGAGGAAAAGGCAAGAGTTGTTGAAGAAGAAAAAGAATGAAGCACCTTTTCTAGAAGCTGAAGATTCTTCCAGTGAGAATGAGCTTGAAAATGCTGATCATAACAACTCCATGAGCGGTGAAGAGGAAGCAAGCAAATCATCACCAGTTAGGGAAGTTGATAGTCTTGAAGAACATGACGATGATGTAGACTCTTTTGACACTTCAGCGGATATGGAACATGAGGTGGCTGCTGAAAAAGATATTGCTGCAAGTGCTAAGGCTTCATTAAAAGGTAACTAAGTCTGATTTTTCATTTTATTTCACGTAGGTGTGGATTTTACGTATATTAATTACCATTTAAATGTTATTAGTTGCTGGAGAAAAGAAGCATAGAGGCCCGACTGTTATGGCAGCAGTGCATAATCGTAAGTTTGATGAACGACCAATAGTTGTTCTGAATGAAGCAGGGCAACCAATTGGCCCTACTCCCGCTCTTGTTCGTGAATTCAGTCGGTTCCTAGGCACCATGGCTAGAGATTCAAAACTTGCACCTTTGAATTATGTCACTTGGCATAAGGTTCCGAAAAATAAATTAGACAAGATGTGGAATTATGTCATGGTAATTAAGTTCATAACACTCTTTTATAGTTTATTGATATTTATTTTAGATGATTTAGATGAAATGTGCAAAGTTGAGTGTAATTGTTATGTATGTAATACTCATGCAGGAGAAGTATGTGGTTCCCATAGAAGGAAAAAGGTGGGTTTTTGCTACCCTTAACGATCTGTGGCGTGTTCACAAATCAAGATTGAAGAAAAACCACTTTTATAAATACAAGACAGTACAACAAAGATGGGAGAATCGACCAAAGAGTGTTTCTAATCAACAGTTCCTAGATCTTTTGAATTACTGGTCTCTTGGAAATGTTGAGGTATGTGTAGTATTCATACTAGGAAGGTAGGGATAAATGAGTTTAAAATAGAGTCTGGAATGGAATAATTGCTTCATTAATTTTTTTTGAAACACTTGGAATTAAGGGGTGTAATTTAATATTATATGCCTGATATGAAGTTGTTTTATGAAAAGTGTAGGATGAAAGCAATACCAATAGAGAAAATCGCATGAAGCATGATGACCCACACACTCTGGGCCCGATATCGTTCGCACTATTGCGTCATACAATGGTAATGGTGTTCTAGTTTGATCATGTTATTTAAAATCAGATTATTCATGCTTATAATTAATTATACACTTCATTTATATTTTCCACCTTAAACATATGTGTTAACAGACAAATGAGGATCCCAATAAAGAAGAGCCATCTGATTCCACGATGTATAAGGAGTCTAGGATGAGGTTTGTGGATGGTCAGTGTATGACAAAGCCTTACCCCGGCGCTGAGCAGAATGGGCGTGTTCGTCTTCGTGGTCGAGGCGTGACCAAGTCTAAAATGAAGAAAAGTAACAACAAGCAGTCTAGCTACATAATGCCAGAGGAGTTCTTGCAAAGTGTCAAAGCACAGTTGGCTCCGGAAGTAGCATCCATGGTACTCTCACAAATAAAGGCAGCTAATCCTGGGATAAGTCTGAACATTCCAGAGTTCTGTGTGTCCTCAAAAAATCAATCATCAGGGCATGAGGTAGATGGGTCAAATGGGCAATCTTCAGCTGGAGCGCACTCGATATCGAAGGTAACTTATATAGCTTCTCTGATATCATTTGAGTGTTCAAGAAATGGTTTTGAGCTTAGTTGAGTTGCTGAAACTGTTATGGAAATAAACACTATAATATTAATGGCTGAAATCATTTGTGTGAAATGGGTAGCGTTCTAACTGTTGAAACAACATGTTTAAATCTTGAATAAGAATCTGAAACTGAGAGTGCTTTTCTATTCCCGTCTGCGGATATATCATGATCTAGCTGGTATCTCACTCACATGTACAATGACCTATAACATCTTTTTTAGAGAAGTTGTGAAACACCCCTTCTCATTGCTCATCAATAAGAACTTTGAGTTTGTTTAGTTTCTGAGAGTTCCCAGGTGTCTGTTTAAGGAGAAGTGATTAGATGTTTAGATGTGTAGATGTTCTTTTTCATATTGGTCCAAATTTAGATGTTTGTTTAGTTTCGGAGAGTTCACAGGTGCATGTTTTAGATGTTTAGATGTTCTTTCTCAGGTGCCTATTTATGAACATATCATGCCACAAAATATTGGTCCAGATTTTCATATACAGGAGAATGTTGAGAATGTTTAGATCAGTTGTTCTTTTTAACCTTCTTGCATGGACTCTTCAAGGACAAATGTCTATCAAAATCTTCAAGCAAAGATCTTGGTTTAGGCAAGTCTGATGAAGTCTTTAGGAAAACAGGCTTATATATTAGTGTCTGTGATTTGAATGATCTCATTGTGTCATACACAACTTCTATGACATTTAGATGTCAATTGTTTTGCTCACATTTATTTATACAGGGTAACATGTATTTGTACTTGATTGTCATTTCTGGTGTATATTTTCAAGTCCTTTGCAACTAAAACCCACTGTTTCATGCTTTTTGTTCTGCTGAAATGAAAAGGACATACCATTTGTTCTGAATTTTACATTCCAAAAAAATTTATGAATGTGTGTTCCTAACAATGGCTTGAGATGTATAACTTCAATGACTGCCAGTAATTAGACACCAGAAGCTGCAAATTTAAGCAAAGATTCGATATTTGTAAAAAGTAATGAGATGAGATTGGAAGATTAAGTTCCAATAAGAATTTGAATATTAAGATAACTGAAGAAAGTTACACTTAATGAACTGATTATAAGTATATGGGTGCTTAATTATTTAAAATGTTTGTTTTACAGGTGAGGGATTCACATGAAGATGAAGATGAAGATGAAGATGGAATGGAATCAAATGATGAATGATGCATACTCATGATTTTCACTTTATCGAGCCTCTCCTAGTAGTAGTGATAAACTATCTTTTGCTTTGTGAACATGATGTTCACCATTTTGCTACTTATCAAGCTCATGTTTTTGTCAAAGAGCTTTTAACATAGCTACTTTAATTTGGTTACGTTGGATTTGTTTTGAACTTGATGCTTCTTTAACTTTTGAATGCTTTTGTACAACTTAAGTTGCTTGGTTTAATGTAATGAATTTGATGTTGGGGTCAACATTTGTTTCACTTTTGTGTGTAATTATAATTAAATTGACAATAGGTGTGTAAATAAATATCTGGGCTGCAGGTGTGCAAATAAATAAACCGTTACATTACATAATTAACCAGGGTCATTGTATTTTAAAAACTGTTACCCTTGTGCATGTTACAAACCGTTGCATTACACAATTAACCAGGGTCATCGTATTTTAAAAACCGTTACCCTTGTGCATGTTACAAACCGTTACATATGTGCACAATCTGTTGTAACGTTTATGGCATTGTCGTGAGGACCGTTACAGTTGCTCATAAACTTCGTTACAAGCCATTACATTAGAGCAAATGCAACGCGAGCGAATGTAACGACCAAAAACTATTACAATAAGTTGTATGTAACAGTTTTTTGGACCAAAGGTTACGAAATCTGCTGTTACAAAAGACCCGAAAATGTAGTAGTGCGTTTTACGTATAACGTTTCAGATTACATACGTATATTTCAAGTTTCAAATTATACTTCAATCTGCGCTAATCTTAGCTTAATCATAAGCTGTCAAGCAGAAGAAGATCAGACTACTGCATGCATACGGGCACGAAATATGCACATAACATGCACGAGTCATGCACATTAGTGTGTTTGACTTTGCAATAAGAACAATTTATTTATTATACTTGTATGAAGAAATTTGAAATTCATTTTGTTTAAAAAGTTTATCTGGCTATTGAAATTGTTTGTGAATGGTCAATTGAAAATATTTCAAGAAGACGACAAAAATCTAAAAATTTTATTATGTTGTATCTGTTGTATAGTAAGTATAGCTGACATTTGCATCCTATAACTTTAATTTTTTTTTTTTTGGATCGGAATCTATAACTTTAAATCTTGAAATACTACGAAAATCAATAATTTTGTTTTTCATCTAATCTGTAAAACTTAAACACCATCCACGCAGCAAGCAACTAGCTGAATCATCTCAAGTCTCAACACTTGTTCAGCTTTGACCAAAAACAAACAAAACAATAAACATTTGTAAGCTTTGTTCAGTCGGATTAAACATATATAGAGAGAGAGGGGGATGATAATGCTCAGTCGTCCGAACGGGATCCTTTGTCCATCCGCCTCCATTTGAAGTGATTTTCTGAAGTTTTTTTTATGATATTTTGTGAACATGTTCTTCATGAGGTGTTGTAGACCTGAGACTTGGAACCGTAAAATCGGGAAAACCGATCCGAACTGAACCGAATTTTCTGGTTCGGTTCCTATAATTTTGGGCATCAGCTTTTCTCGGTTTGGTTTCTATAGTGTTACGTTGGATCGGTTCGGTTGCGGTTCAATTCCACTTCGACTCTGGTTCCTAGACAGGAACCGAACTTCTTATACATTGCATGAGTAATCTTGATTTGTGGTACTTCTGTGTGGAATTTTGTAATAAAATTTTGTGAGCTATTTTTTCATGAAATATAAATTATGTCCTCCAAATTTGAGTTTAAAAATCAATCGGGAAGTTAGTTCAACAATTTATTGAAAAACACTACGTCAAAATATATGTAAAAGAGGCAATATTTTTCAATATTTTATTTATCTTCCCGGTTGAATTTCAAGATAAAATTTTGTGGATATAATCTATAATTCATGTAGAACATGATCACAAAAACGCATCACAAAATTCTACCCGGAAGCACCTCAAATGGAGGTGGCCAAACGACGTTCCGGGCAAAAAAATATTGTAAGGAATATTTGGCTTGCATAATACACCTTATATATTGTGGACCAATCTAATCCGAGTAATTGTTATTTTTACCACTTTAGTCCACCTTTAGATTTTTTATTTTTTTTGTAATTGTACTACTGTAGTATTTTTTATTTGAGTTCACCTAAAAAGTGAATTAATATTCTCTGCTGATTACGTTGTTATTTGTTCATAGTAAATTACTAATATTACTAGTCAGTTTATTACTATGTACTGTACTTTTTACTTATGGTGCATTACCGGTAGGAAAATATTATTTTGGGATTGAACTCACTACAAGAAAAGTGCACATAGACTGCACATGGACCACATTTTTCTTTGCGATGGCAGCATAACTGTCGTTAAAAACACCATTAACCACGCATTTTTTATTTATTTACCACACACAAAAATGTGGTAAAAGCTTAGAGACGACAGTTTTTAACCGTGGCCAATGTTTTTACCACAGCTGTTGTGCCGACGCACCTAAAACTGTCGCAAAACTGTTGTAAAAACATAAGGAGGAACATTTACGACAGTTTTGCGACAGTTTTAGGTGCGTTGGCACAACAGCTGTGGTAAGAACATTAGCCACGGTTAAAAACTGTCGTCTCTAAGCTTTTACCACAGTTTTGTGTGTGGTAAATAAAAAAATGTGTGGTTAATAGTGTTTTTAACGACAGTTATGCGGCCATCGCAAAAAAAATATTGGTCTATGTGCGGTCTATGTGCACTTTTCTTGTAGTGACTACCTGCTATTAGATATGTACCTTGGAGCTATTGAACATTTTTGCTTGACAGTTGATGCTTACTTTAAACCTTTATGTTTTTGTTATGTTTAAATTTAATGTTTGCACTTGGATATTTTTGTGATATTAAAACATTGAGATTAAGGTTGTATATAAATCAAATAATTTATGTTTGTTCGTGATTCGAATTCGAAAAAATCAAATACAAATACAATTAAGAATACTAAATTTGATTCAAAATATAATGTTATCAAATAAAAATACGTATATAAAAATACGAATATCAATACATTTCATTCAAATAAAAATACAAATATCAATACGAATAATCAAATATATTCGATTAATGTTAATAGTAATAATAGTAGTAACAACACTATAATAACTTTTATAAGCTAGTTATACTCTCAAAGTTAGTAATGTTTGCACTTGGATATTTTTGTGATATTTGAACATTGTGAATTCGGGATATCATGTATGTATTGTAATGGTAATAATTTCATGATTTGAAATTTCAATTTGTTTACGTAACTGAAGGCAAAATGTGTTCATTTTAGGAGGATAATAAATTTTGATAAAGAACCGAAAAAAAGTAAGAATCGAATCGAATTTAATTAGAACCGAACTGAAGTTAGCAATTACATTTTAAACCAGAACCGAACCGTATTTAACGCCTATAATTTTTAATAGAGTTCCATCGAATTTTAACAAGAACCGAACCGATCCCAGGCCTAAGGTGTAGATAACATTTACAAAATTTTAGATTAAAAGTCATGTAGAGTTTCTGGACCGGCTCAGACCTCAATCACCATAGCCCAAGGGCTAGCTCACCATTCACCACCAAGGAGTCAACAAGGGAAACCAGAGGGCATCAAGTCTCAAACGCTCAGTTTAGTGCCCACCCCCCCAGACCAGACTGCCCAAAAAACCCCACCGGAGAGGAACCCCCCAAACTACCAGCACAGAGTGAAGCCCACAGAAGGATCCCCAAGGTATCACCGGAGGGTAGCCGGAGCTCAAACCCTAGATGATACCGGCACTCTCTCACTCTAGGACTGGGGTAACTGGAAAGACTGCTCATCGGATAGAGAGAAGGAAGGGGCGATCAAATAGGCGGTTCCAGAAGGAACCAGACAATATAAGAGAAGGGCCACAGGAGTCACGGGCTTGGGCAAAGACAAAAGGGGGCGTATGGGCTGAGTCAGGCGGACAGCTCAAAGACGGCCAGGGTAATTAATAGCAGACAAGGCTATTAAATGGGATGGGCCAAGGATCCAGTGAGGTGGACCAATACCTACTCACAATCTCCACCTTATTGGTCCCCCTGGTGGTGTAGAGCACAACGTGAATGGGAGTATCATCATCGCCGGTTTTGTACCAGTTCTTATCTAGCCACAGTCTAAATTAAGAGTTTGTTTACAGGATAAAAGTTTTTCAAAATTGAGACATTTTGTCCCCATATCAGCTGGATTGAATTCAGATGCAATCTTGCATAGTTTGATATCACCTGCATCAACAATGTTCCTTATAAAGTGAAATCTGACATCTATGTGTTTTGTCCTGTCTTGGAAAACTGGATTTTTGCACAACTGGATGGCAGACTAGCTGTCTGAGTATACTGTCACACCCTGCTTAAGAAAACCAATTTCAGTTAGCAAACGTTTCAGCCAAATGGCCTCTTTAAAGGCTTCAGTGGCTGCCACGTATTCAGATTCAGTGGTGGACAATGCAACAATAGGTTGCAGTTGGGATTTCCAACTTATGCAGGATCCACAAAGAGTAAAGATATAGGAAGTAGTAGACTTCCTAAGCAGGATTCCAGATAAGAGTCTTAGAAAACACAAGGCCATGGGTGGAAGTACCCTTAAGGTACCTAAGCAACCATTTCAGAGCAGTCCAATGTGGCATTCCAGGGTTGGCCATATATCTACTTAAGCAACTGACAGCATAGGCAATGTCAGGCCTAGTGCTTACCATGAGATACATGACCGACCCTATAGCATTGGAATAGGGAACATATTTCATCCTATCAATTTCAAGGCCAGTCTTAGGAGACTGATCCTTACTTAAAACAAAATGAGATGCTAAAGGAACATCTACAGGTTTGGCAGAATCCAGGTTAAACTTTTTCAAGACTTTTTCTAAATAGGAGGTTTGATTTAGGGTGAGAGTACAGCTACTTCTATCCCTAACAATGTTGATCCTTAAGATCCTTTTAGCATCTCCCAAGTCTTTCATGGCAAAGTTTTTACTAAGGCAATTTTGAACAAACTTAATAGCACTCACAGAAGGGCTGATAAGCAACATGTCATCAACATATAACAACAAGAAAACAGGTACAAAATCAGTGTTCTTAAAATACAAGCAAGGGTCAGAATCAGACCTTTTGAAACTCAGGGAAGACATACACTGATCAAACTTTATATTCCATTGTCTGGGAGACTGTTTCAGGCCATAGA